CAGCACAGCCAGCGAAGGATAGAACGCAACTGTTTTGAAGGAGCGCACCTTTTTTTTAACAACCAAAAAGTTTTGTTGTCTGTTGCGGAAGTACAGACGTTCCTCTCGTAGATAGCAGAGGAGCGGATCCAGCGAGAGCTTGATGGGGCGATGCGGAATGAAAAAGTTTTTTTTAGGAGTCGTGGTAGTAGAGGCGGCGCAACTATAACGACATGTGAATAATCCCACCCATTCTAAAGCGTTACTGAACGGCAGTGGAAACGCAAACCGTGCCGAGCCGAACCGTGCTGTGCCGTACTGAGCCGAGTCGTACCACGCAGTGGAAAAGCGCCATTAGAGTGGCCATAAACGGCCACAGGACTGCCTTTGTTACCTCAGACATGGAGGTTAAACAAACAAAAGGGGGCTTAATCACCAGTGTTAGCATGCTAGCATCATTAACATGTGGACACAATGTTCATACATGCATAAATCAGGTAGAAGACATGGATAAATAAATAGAAACTGTGGCACTGGATTTGATTATAAAAATAAAAGCAGTAGATGATTTTTAAAAATCATAATCAGAGGGTTCTGGCTGTGGAAGAGGTCACAACTGGGAACACTGTCCCAGGCTTTGCGATGAAGGGTCGCTGTAGCTATGTTTCCATTTAAAGTTGTGAATTAGACTGGAATATTGCAGAAAACATTTGGAAATAAAGCAGTTTCCATCCCATGTGTTCAAGAGAACAACAACTTTACTTCCTGGAAAACTGGCGCAAAGTATCAGCAACCGGGAAAGCCTGTGACTCCTTTTTTCCTACATAATAAATTACTTGCGCCTCTGAAGAAACGCAATAACAAATGCTGTCATGTTATCTTGCATCCTGAGACTGATGTCTGACGTTGGGAATGCAGTTGTATGAGACAATTCTGGGAGGTATAATCATTTTGATGACAGAATCTGGTTCACAGTAATTTAGATGGTGTGCAATGAAATTGGTCCACTGGCTAGTCCAGTCGTCCAGTCACATGATCTGTTGAGGCACTGGAGTTTTTTTGTAGCACAACCAGGAATTTATTCGCCAATGTGTTTCCATTGTAGTTTATGTGCATGTTTTCTTATTGAATAAAAAGAAATATCAACCTTAATTAAGAGGATTGGAAGATTTTAGGCACACCGTTTATGCCATTTCCATCTAGTGTTTATGCAATATCCCAAAATTTGTATGACAATACATGGATGGAAACATGGCTAATAAGGTCCTCTAAGGCTACGTTTACACAACAACGATGTAGTCAAAAACGGAAAAGTTTTTCCCTTGCGTTTTTAAAAAGTTTCACGTATACACGGCAACGTTTTCAAACCGATTTGCGTTTACACATATCCGTGAAAACGGCCAAAAATGCTGTATTACGTATGCCAGGCCAGTAGTTGGCGCTGTCACCTTGTTAGTATACGGTACCTGTTGCCGTGTGTATATGATGCGTCTCCGCTGTTGGTTGTAATATTGGTGAAGTAAATCCACACTTTGCTGAAGAAGCATTAGCAAACTCTTAAACAGCAACAACAGTAGGCCTACCATGTACTCCGCCATTGTTGTGCATGTTTGTTCGCGCTTGCCTTTAAAATCGACACATACTGCGCATGTCTACATACCTAACACGTACTCAGTGTTACCAGATTGGGCGGGTTCCCGCCCAGTTGGGCGGTTTTAAATTTGATTGTGCGGGTAAAAATTGGCTTGGGTGGGTGGACAAAATTTGGGCTGGTTTGGGGTCAGTTTGGCGGTTTTCAAACATAAAAATCCAAGTGTGCATGTATTGCAACCAATCAGTCATCACAAAGTTACTACACACACACACACACACACACACACACACACACACACACACACACACACACACACACACACACACACACACACACTGCAGAGGCGCTGGTGCTGATGTAAACGTCGACAGTCGCACTTATCACGAGGGCTCAGCAGACAGACGTTATGATTTACGAGTGACAAGTTTTTAGCGTAATAAATTATAACTTATCTGATTTTGAATGTAGTATGACTGTATATTCAAGTAATCGCAATGTTATCACTTATATTGGGCACTTTTTGCATTTAAATTGGATTATTCTGCCTGCTGACATTGAAAATGATGCATGTTGTTTCGAGGGTATCGGTTAATTTCTTGATTGCAGTTTTGACAGTGTCTGCTTGCATATTTTCTTCATGTTCGGTAGCCTAATTCTCTTTAATGTAGGCTATTTGCCCCGATTTGATCCGTTTACCTGGGAAATTTATCTTACTTTATATTTATATTATTTTGTCATCATTCTTTTGTTTTAAGGAGTTAAAATGGCCCTTATCAACCTTGATTTACATATTCCATCATATTATTTTCAGTTAAAGTTTTGGGCGGGGTTTTGTGAGCTTTTGGCCTGGAAATCGTCCATCTAATTTGGCAACACTGGTTTTGAATCAGCATCATTATCATTTCAGTATTTTAGTGAATGTGAGCTATGCTCTGATTTTAAATCATAATTTTGTCAGCTCCTGAAATGGGTCATACCATCGATATTACACAGCATTATAAGTAC